TAGACATTCTTCTGGTAATCCCTACTTTCGGCTTAGATCCATCTAACATTAGCTACAATATCCCTAGTACCATGACCCCTTCTAAACCCAGCCTAGACTTCTGGTAATTCTCTGTTGATGTGTTGTTCCAGTCGTTTTTTTGGATAATGTTCAGTAGAATTTTGCGGTTTATTAGGGAAGCTAAAATTTAACAATTCAGGTTGACAACAGGAAACACTTTCTCTGTCAGGACAGCTTCTGAAGTGTGCTCACAGGCTCTTCAACCTCCAGCCTCATGGATTTAGTTCCCTCACTAAGGCTTCTCTTCTGTTCAGCAAGTTTAGGGGAGTCATTGGCCCTGGCTTCACAGGGGTAGCAGTCCCTGGTAAGCTGTCTCACATCACGTGGCTGGTTCTCAGCTGTGACTGCTAGTGCTCTCCCATTGTCTGAGGCTGACACAAGCCCCAGTCTGAGATGGTACAGTCTTTGGTCACAATGGATGAGCACTGGATTCTTTGCTACTTCTTTCTTGCTGGTAGTGAGATTCCCTTTAATCAGTCTTAATACACAATACACCTGCTGTTGTTATTAAGTGCAATAGAGTAATCTACAACTTATACTGGCCCTATGGACAACAGATCTGAATCTTGTTCCACCTCACATCGTCCTCTTGAGCTCCAACATGCTCCAGCCATTGTTAGTTCCTGTGTCCGTTCATCTCCTCAGAGTCCTCCTCTCTTGCAGACCCTCTCTCTACCCTTCTCTGCATGAGTTCCCCCCAGTGCTGGGCACCTTATATACAGATTATGTGAAGTTTCACTATCCTTATTTCTAACGAGCACTCTGGTTGACTTCCTTCAGGACAGATTTTGTTTGTTCTTTTGGCAATTTATGGTGTATTTAATATTCTTCACGATCACCAGAATCCAAATGTACATGTTTTTCTTCCTTATTCATTGTTCAATGTCCAGATGCATACAAGCACCTGAAAAAGTATATAAAAGACATTTATTAAAAAGTACCATTTTGCAGGGAGCTCTGGTGGCCTAGTGGCAAGAAGCTGCACTGCAATCCCAGAGGCACACAGTTCAAATCCACCAGATGTTCTGCGGGAAAAGGAGAGACAATATCTTCCTGTACCAGTCAGATCTAATTTGACGGTACACGCACACAAAAAGAATAAAATAAAGAAAAATTTAAAAAAAGTACCATTTTGATCAGTGTGATAGTAACTTTTCTGGTGGAAGGTGCTGGATTATCTAGATTTTTCCAAAGAATGAGGATGGTACTCCTACTCAGAAAGTTGATGAGAAAAAAATAAATTGCTCTTTTTATGCATGGTTAACATGTTATGTAGTATTAGTGATGAAATGATGTTAAAAAGCACAACTAGAAAGTCTTAAGTGCAATTTATCATAATTTGAACATAGTGCAAGCCAGGGACTAGTAAATAATGACTGTTTTCTCTTTGAACTTAGGATATTCATGGATAGGCTAATTTATCAGGGAGTTGAATTTGAGAAGGTGTTTTAATAAAGGTGTTTAATAAAAAGCTACCACTTTTTATATTTCAGAAAATTCAAGGCGTGTTAAAGGAAGAACTGTGTCATTGCTAACATTAAAAGAAACTTCAGTATTATTAAAATGCTAACAATGATGACTTGATGATCAGAGCGGCAGATAAAAAAGACGATTTTCCCCCTAATGTACAATCTCAGCAGGAAGAGCTTGCGGTTAGCTTTTGCTGACACATCTAATCAGGGTGTGAAAGGTTTCTGGAGACTTAATCCTTGGATTTGTAGTTTAATTTGAAAAAATACTTTCTTGGACATTTAATTAGATTCTACAGTTTTTTGTATATCAAGACAGAATTGACTTTAATGGGTCATTTAAAGTTCAAACAATGCAGAAAGTAAATAGCTGGAGAAAATATTCTAAGTCTCGACATAGAATAATAAATGAGTATATAACAGTTGCTACACTAATTACTTACAATCTAAAGGACTGATGGTTGTTCCTCTTTATATGGCCAGTCCTAATTTGCCTGCTACTAGGGTCTCTTATGAGTCACGCGCGATTCAAAGGCAATCAACAACAACAACTTTTTGAACCCTGCTCATATTCAACCCTTCTTCCTAAACCTATGCCTATCCACTCACTTAGCATAGTAGCCAGAGAATTTAGGGTCCCACAGAAGTAGGACAATGGAGAGTTTCAGAGGTCCTGTAGGCAGGACAGGACAACGCCCAATTCCAGCATCAAGCAGGCTTGGGCAGTCGTCCTCCAAAACCCTAAAAGATTTCAGGGCTTTAATCTCTCCAGAGAGGAATGTTAGGGTAAGAACCAAGAATATGTGTAAGTTTATGCTTGAAGAATTGAGTTTTCTCCACCAGGAAGCCAATATTGATATGCACAGAAGTAGTGCTTTTGGCACGTAAGTGATGCCAGAAGCAGAGGATGCTCTGGGCACATGAATGTTATGAGAACAAGGCCCAGAATGAGAAACACCCACTGAACTGTGAATGCTGCATGGCATCTTTCATTGGCCCAGACTTGAGCCCCAAGGGCCAAACAGGGGAGGAAGCCATAAATGTTACCTCACCTCACTGCTGCCTCTCCGTATTTCCTTTCCAGGAGGGAAGTCTATTCATTTGGGATATAACTTTCTACTACATCTATATTTTTATTTTAAAAAAGAAAATGTTAAAGAAATTAAGACTACATTCATTCCTTGCTTTAGTCAGTGACTCAAACTAGAGCATTGGACTTTAGCAACATAGATAATCTAACTAAAACACAAAGATTTAAAAGAAGAAAAAATTTTTGGTTCAGTCTATTCCTCCCCTCAACAACTAGGCTTTTACCTATGTGAACAGACAGTATATTCTATAACTAGGATTAATGGAAGTCTTATTTTTTCCAAACTTCATACCTCCTTAAAATGATCTTTAGCAGTTTTGAATGAAAATGTCTTTGGGTAATGTATTTGGCCTACTGATAACATTAAGGTAACGTGCATCAACAAAAGAGTAGCTCAAACAAATAAATTATTGAAAGGCGTTCTTATGGATAAAATGAATAAAATGCATGCCAGTATAACAGTGGATTTTAAAAGAGAATCATAAAATAATCATGATAAAAGAAGTTTAATGGCATTTTCCGAGAGACTAATCCATAATAGATGTTATGCTTCATTTCTTTTTTCACTCAGACTCTCACTTACTTAACATACACTGAAGAAACAGAAGGAAAATATACAAACTGCTGATTTTTCAAAAGCAAAAGACAAAACCCTCTTTTCAACATTTCATATTGTTTATTAATGCAGTATACAATAGATCAAATAGCTTCCATATCTAAGCACACCATGTTCAGACCTTCCAGATCTTTCTGCAGTTTTAGGTTATGCCTACAGAGGTACCTTAAAGTGAATGAATAACATACTCTCTAATTACTGAAAATATAGTACAGAGTGAAATGATTTAAATATAATTTAGGCACATATCGATTATGAAAATAGATTATCTCTCAATACAATACTTCTCTGTCTCAGTAAAAATAATAAAGCAAAGAAAATAATTCATTTCTAAAGTTGCTTTCCTTTACCTGTAAAGGTCCAATCTCCTCCCACTATGCATATGTACTCTTTACTGTTAAGGAAAGCTTTGCATATGTATGTATAGAAGAATAAACTACATAAATATTGAAGACATGTCATTCTCTCAAAGGAGACAGAAGTGGTCTTTAATGATTCACTGCCTCACACTCATGAGTCTGAGGGACTGCGAACCCGTTTGGATACAGCTTAGCTCCCTGCTCATGGGGTTGACGTAAGGACACTGGGTTACTGGTGAGGAAGGACAGGCCCCCTCTCTGCTGCTGCAGGATGGTGACTCAAGAAAACTGGGCCCACATTTTGTTTGTAATCCCAACAACACCACAAAATTAACAGTAAATAGAAGTAAAAGAACCACAGGTGCTGACTGAATGGTATTCCACCTTGGACCAGTCAACTACCTTTATGAACTCATGTTCATTTGGTGGCAGTATTCAACATGTCAGCTTAAATCTCGCATTCACCAAAGCTGAGTTTCACTTGAAATTACAATATGCTGACTTCTAAAAGGTCACTTTGCCACCACATTTATTTATATTTTATAGTTTTGATTACAATGGATTTTAATTTAATAGCCATTTCTAATCTGGTCCTGTTGAAACTATCTGTCATTTCAACTATTTTTTGATGCACCCTGGTTTTCTGGTATTGAAATATCTTCATATGGTCACTTTAATTGTAGATGAGAACACTATTAAATGTACAGAAATAAAATTGCCTGGCCTGGTGTTGAGCAGAACTTGCTTAGAATAAATTTTAGTTTTTCAAGGAAATTATGATTTAAAATTTATAACTGTATGTAAATTCTTCCTTAATCTGGAGAGTTCAACAGTATACTTCCAGCATGAAAATTTTGTACAATGCTGTCTTTCCTTCCATTATGTCTCAATCAGTAGGAATGAGGGATTTCTTCAATTCAACTACTGTTTTGATCTAAAAAGTAAACATCATAAAATGAACCTGAACAGCCGTAGGGAGTGGTCTCACCATATTCATATGGTTCAACAGGTATTTAAAGTAGGGGAGGCATCACTAAAGCTATTCATAAACCTGAACAACCTTATCAAAATTCTCATAAAGTTTAACATTTTAAATATTCTTATGGTATCTAGAGATTCAATAAATATAATTGCATATGTTGTGCTTTTCATAAATTAAAATCCTCAAAGCATTTCAAACCAAGATGGTATTTCCCTATCATGCCTATTCAGAAAAAAAATACAATAGATACTATTCCTGGTCAGTAAGTCAGGCAAATCCCCCTACTCCATTCAAAAGGCAGCAATATACTCAAGATTCTCTACACTACCATACAAGGGTGTCTCTTTTAGAATCAGAATGTGGAAAAAAAGTCATTGCCCCCCTATGCACCACTGAGAATGAGTATAAGCTTTTAAATGTTTTTAAGTTCTCTACAGGTTTTTCTTCTAGACAACTGAGTGAGTGGTGAAAGAAAAGTGACAAGGGAAACATTTCTCATCTTGGACATCTTCCTCCAGCCCCTAAAGTTCTCATCTGACACTCTGTGACATATGCAGTGGTGTCAGCATCTCTTCAAATATAGCTCCCTTCACATTAGAACCTCTCAGGTTGGCTTCTTGAAGATCACACCCAGACAGATCACAGTTCTGCAAGGCAAAACAATATCCATATAAGTAATTCAGAGATTCAGGGCTTTACCTCTGTCCTCTCAAGATGATTTCTGATGTCTATTAGGAAAAAGATTCTATATAATAAAACTCAGTTAACTTTCTGAAAAGTTCTGACCATACATTCATATACCATATAGAATCACATTTCCTTCTGTCTACATGTGTTATCTTAGGCAGCTTTAATGGACTAGTGCTAAGAAGCTACACTGCCATCTTAAAGGCATGTGGTTCAAATCCACTAGCTGCTTTGTGGGAGAAGGATAGGCAGTCTCCTTCTGGGCAACTGATAGCCTCTGAAAATACACCAGAGGATTACTTATGAGTTGGTTTTAACTCAATAACACACAACAACAACAACAACAAGAAGTTTATGGTCAGGCAATTACCACAAATATATAAAAGCAAAGTTTTAAAAGAGAAATGTTCTTTTTGTTCATATCTTTTAGAACTAGTATTGAAAATCAAGATCAGACCTTGTTATAATACTTTCTGAACAATTTTTCCATAGTTTCTTTCCAACAATAAGTCAAGAAAAGGTAGAGACTAAAAACTATCAAAGAGAAAGAGATTTTACTTAGTGATACTTTTTCCCATTCCTCAACTGTAACACTTCTATCATAGTGATTTTTTTAAATCCAGTTTACACGTACAACTCAGTAAATTTTGATAAATGTATACAGTAATGTACCCACTACCACTAAATTCTCTTGAGATCACAAAATCAAAGGAAAGAGAGAGTTCTGGAGGTGCTGGGGACAATGGTTAGTGAGAAAGGCACACGGCCACAGGAAGAATGTCAGCAGCTGCCCCTCTAAGAGTCAACTTACTTTGCTGTTTTGTAATCAGCTAGATAAGAGCAAGGCTGTGCTGTTTAAGAACTGAACAGACAGTACCTAAAACCAAAGGAGGGTGGAATATACATCATCTGAGATGACAGTGGTAATGAAAAAAAATGATGACTATAGCAAGGTTATATACTTTCAGTCTTAGTTTTTCTTTTTTGCGTCTAAATTTGAAGGGAAATGCTGCTTAAGAGTTATCAAGAGACTAACGGAAAACTTTTCAAATAAACAGCAAACTAGAATTTTATTCTCTATATCAAATTTATGTCAGATTTTCTTCTATAGAGCTTTGCTATTAAAAATGATAGTCATAATCAGATGAGGATGTTGAAATTTACAGGAACTAAAATATCTTAGAAACTTAGAACTACAGTTTCTAAGTAGCACATATACTATATAAAATAATAAAAAGGCACATTTCCAGTGCTCAGTAGCATTAGGTGGCTAGTAGTGCCTACAGGATTGAACACTACAGATTTAGAATATGCCTTTATCTGCAAAAACCAGTACAGGATCCTGCTGCTGGAAAGCTAGCAAATACTTTCAAGCCTACAAGATAGATGTGCAAATCAGGAAGCCATACGGAATACAATTTTCATGAAAAAGATGACTTGACCAAAAAAAAAAAAAAATCCTGTATTAAGATTCCAAAAGACAAGATACGATATCAATGTAGAATGGGCTTTTCAAGAACCTGATTTCAAAATGGGTATCATTTAAATGTCTTCAGTAGTTTAAAGAAATAATCTAGCAACACTGACAATTTTGCTTTTTGTTTGTTCAGAGTGGGGCTAGATAGATTATTTCTTTAAACTACTGAAGACATTTTAAGGTTACCAAAGTTTGAAATCAGGTTTGGAAAAAGCTTGGCTACATTTTAAAAACAATGAAAAATTAGATTAAATATAAGTATCCATCAATTTTTTTTTCAACTTGAGAAAGTCCCAAGACAAAGGAAAAAAAATAAAATTAATGTAACACTGTGAGATGACTCTTCAAATCTAGCATCAACTAATTATGTAACCGAATTCTGTCCTCCAATTCAAATTTGTGTAAATAAACAACTGAAACAAAATCCTTTTTTCTAACTGGCAGAATGGCAATTTGCCATCTGGCAGTTTTTAACACCAAACAACTTTAAGATATCAATACAATTTACTTGAGATGCTCAATTATTCTAGATTAACACCAAGCTTTAAAAAGTTGACTACTCACCTCTAAATCTGTTCCTGCCAGAGTTGCTCCTCTCAGGTTACAGTTCTTTAGCTTCGCATTTTTTAATGTAGCCACTCGCAGGTTAATTCCTGTCATCTGACTTCCTTCCATGTCCACACCTTTCAAATTAGCACCTGAAGTGAACATATTTGGGGATACTTAAAAACTTTTATAGCTAGTCATGTTCAAGAAACGGCAAGGTGACTAAGAGGAGATGAATAATGATAGCCTCCTTCAACTTTCAGAAATAAATTTCTGCTTTATGTAACAGTTTTAAGCTTTTTTATATGAAGAGTTCTCTGTCCAAGATCTGTTTGTTCGTAGTATAAATCAACATTTCAGGATAGCTTATTTAGTTAGAAGAAATAACTGGGTTTATAGTTATCAATGCTTTTATGTCTCAATATGTTTATGACAAGGAAGGTATGTCTCAAAAAATATACAAGTAAACAAAGTGACCAGTTCACAGACACAACAAAGCAATAATGAATTCATAAACAAAACATTAAATCTAAAAATGACAAAAGCTACCTAGCTTTGTGTAAGCTGAAATCAATACTTTTGGTTAGTATAAAAATATTGTGCTCTACTTGAAAGCTTAAGATGGTAATGTTTCACTGCCCATCTGAAGTCTTATTAAAGATAATAGTTGGATTTCCTCTCAGTCCTCAAGTTGATAAGCATATAACTAAGGCCAAACAGAGTCCTACTGAACCCTTACAAGTTCTTCAAATTTGAAGACAAAAGAAACCCACCCCCTACAGTTATCTCGTTTCATCCTTAAGCCATTATTTTGCTGGGCTTTTTGCTGTATGGTGTGCTTCCACCATAGTAAAAGTAATTGTAGATAGGATCTCACCTTCTAAATTGGCTTTAAGACCAGAGGGATCCTCAAAATTACACAGTTTCAGGGATGCCCCTTCAGCGTTAGAACAGAGCATCTTGACCCCCTGGAGGTTTGCACACTGGCAAAGAAAAAAAGAAAAGTCCATGCTTTAAGGTCTAGAATTCTGTTTGGAAAAGAAAAACTTGGCTCAAACGGTGAAAAAACAAAACAAAACAACAAAACAACCCAAAACAACCACCAAACCTTTTCTCTTCCATACACTCACAATCAGACCTTTCTAACTGAACCCAAAAGAACTGAGAACTGTATAAAGGAACAGTTCTTTCAGACTGTTGTAAAAGAAACAAGTGCCAAATCAACAACAGCATGCCCATTTCACAAGAAATAGAACTGGTTAAAGAGTCTGGGAGGAGAACTATGACACCCCTATTTCTACTTTTACAAACAGACCTGGGCAAAATAAAAAAGACAACAAAGAACATGGATAAAAGAGGCATGAAAAGGTGTTTGGACTTTTTCCTTCCTCATTCTAAATGAAGGAATCAACCAATAGTACCAATGATGTTCCCAGTACACTGTTGTCAGCTTAAAGGTCAAAACAGTAACGCCAGCAATTAAACACACTGCTCCTTCAGCCTCCACCAGAAGCCCAGCAGCAGGAGCTGAGAGGGCAGCAGAGAGGAGTAAGTGACGGGACGGGACGATGTGAGTACGCTCCGCCAGTCCTGCTGCTCCCCTGACGGAGGAGCAGGCACAGCCTGACCCAACAGCCCCACCAGCTCATAAAAAATGGGCTGCAGTTAAGGAAAAAAAAAAAGAAGAAGACATTTATTAAAGGACTATCCAAAGCAAGTTACTGTATTAGACACTATTCATTTAAATGGCATACAGGCATAGGCTTTGATATTAAGGAGTGTAAAGTTGTTAGTGGACGTCACTATTGTTGCTGCGTATGTCCTCTACTACCAAATAACACAGGTAAATAACAAATACATATGTATACATACATACGTATATATAGAAATATGTACATGTACAAACATAAGACACATAGAGAGAGGGCGAGGGGCAGTGAGAGGCTAACACCTAAAGACTGATAGAAACCATTTCGTGTCAAAGTATTTTGTGCGAAAAAACTCTAGGTGCTGTTGTTATTGCTGTTGCATGCCGATGAGTTGGAACCAACTCACTGTTGATCCCCCAGCAGATTTCAGGGCAGTAAATTGCCTGGGAAGAGACTGGCCATCCCTCTCCCTCAAACAACTCTAGAGTAATGATATTTTTCCATTCCAGAAAGAAGGAGGCTAAAAAGCTTTGAAAGGTCTTTTCGTAGCCTTACTTCACTGAAAACAGACTTCCTGATAAAAAGTATACCCTATTAAGGAGAAGATGATCTAATTTTAGGATTAATTTCCTATTAGTTACTAGCTCTCTCAGCCACATGCTTAATAAAGGCTATCAGAATAGCAAACCAAATCTATTTCATTTTCAGAGCCTTCCGTTTTATCATCAACTTAGTAAACTAACTTTTAAAAGAAAAGTTCCATTAACAGTCAATTCTGCTCTTCAAGATTAAATAGACTAAAAATAACTAGTTTTCTCTTTCAGTAAAAAAGAATTCTTACATCAAGCACTGATCCGGAGAGATCAGCTCGTTCAAGATTTGCAAAGCAGAGATTAGCGTGGGCAAGATTGCAGCGGCTTAAATTGGCCATTTTGAAGTTAATGTATCGAAGGTCCAAACGAGAAAGATCAGCACCACTGAAGTTTAAGCCCTAAAATAAAAAAATAGAAACATCACAATATTTAAACCCTCTGTGTGCAGTAAGTTTAATTACTAAAACCAAAGATCAAATTTTTAGACTCAATTGGCAGTTCAGTCATTTGGAGTTTATTATAAAACATAATCAAATGGAACTCAGATACATAAAATAAGTATCCTTAATGGGTTTCTGTTAAAAGAAACTCCATCAAATACATGTTGTAATGCAACTTGACTATACTTCATTTATATGCAGAAGTTTCTGAAGAGGGGTCTCTCTCTCTCTTTTTTTAAATTTCATTTTATTATTTTTTGTGTGTGCACTGTCAAATCGGATCTGACTGGTACAGGAGGAGGTTGCCCCTCCTTTTCCTGCAGAGGATCTGGTGGATTCCAACCGTGCACCTCTGGGATTGCAGTGTAGCTTCTTGCCACTAGGCCACCAGAGCTCCCTAAGAGAAGTCTCTTTAAGGTTACTTTAGTAAAACTTGAATATATTTATCTTATCAATGAAATAATTCAAGACAGCTCTGTTTAAAAAAACATTTTATTTAAAAAATAATTAATGATAAAATACATACATGTATCTGTCACAGACTATACAATTGTATTTTTATTTAACTGCTGCAATTTCTATGTGTTACCAAAAAATAATTATATGAGGCATAAAGGGCACTGAGATTAAATCAATGGAGTCACCTATACATAAATGAGTTCTACCTTAAGTGAGAAAGGAAAGTATAAAAAACAAAATTTAAAAACTACCAAAGAAACCTCTGAAAAAGTAGAAAACATTACTCACAGATTTTCCGATATAAATAACCCATGTAAAAAGTCTCCTTTAATTACCTGGCAACGTAATTCTGACTTGGTTGGAGTAGCTAGCAGAAACCGTACAAATTCTTTTCGAGATATTGGTGAATGATCCTCTGGTGGCTGAGAGTTCTTGCGGAAAATATTAAGAAATTAGTGGGGCACCTTGGGAGACAGCTACAATTAGTGCAGTATTTTGCTAAAGTAAAAAGGGCTTTTACCTTTATTGCCACTTCTAGGTGTTCAATTAGTGAGTCGATACCAAAAAATCTGGCTTCTTCTAACACACCTATCAGAACAAAAAGGATTTGACATTTATAGAAAACTACTCATGTTAATGTTTATAAAATTACTTATGTTAAATTCTCATAAAAGAACAGAAATGAAACAAGTAGGCCATTATCCAACACAGAAGAAAAGCACCTTATGTTTACAACACCTCAGACGTTGTTAGTTGCCCATATAGTTAACTGTGGACCATAGAGTCTCTATGAACAACAGACCAACATCTGGTCTTATCCCACACTGTTCATGCTCTCTGCCCTGCGCAAGCCCATCTTGTTGAGCAGTCACCGGGTCAATCCATCTCATCACATGAACATTAAAAATATGTTTCTACATAGAGAGTCTTTTCTACATAGTTTACATACCGCAAAAGGAAGAGTAATGAATTAGAGTGAAAGCCTTCCCTATTTCAAAGTTATTTCTAGTAATTAAATAGGGCACAGACAAGAAATCTTATACCATTTATGCATCTCCAGTAAAAACGGTTATTTAATTTTCACATTTGACTTTTTAACAGAATAGATCTGAAGTAAGTTGGCCACAAGTATCTCCTATCTTTTGAATCAGAAAATTACAGAAATGAATAAGGTAAGACAGCTTTATGATAACTATTCAAAGTATAATTCAGAATCCTCTCATAGGAGAACTAATTTTTAAAATACATTTTTAAACAATAAAAGGAATTTCATCTATCATTTACTTTAACTTGGTTAATATCATAATATTAAAAAGTGATCTATATTCTCCAGGTGATGTGGTTTACTTATTTCCTCCTAACTATTAATAAATATTTCATCTGAGTATATGAGAATAAGTACATTTGGGATCCATTATCTTTCAAGTACAGATCTTAGTAATTCAGTTGGCTGAGTTTACTTGGTAAAAATTTACTCAGGATTCTGGAACTACAAAGAAAATAAGAGGCACAGTGCATTTCTTCAAATGGTCTAGGTTAAAAATGTTAACAAGTATATAATATTGACACAGAAACTTAGCTATAGAAAATCACAAATCATTATTTAAGAAGAACTTTCTCTTTTCTGGGACAACCTAAACTCTACCTCCAATATTTTAATTGTGAAATAAAGGCAATTATTGAAGAAGATCAAAGAACTAAAGAACAACAATGTCAGTCTGAAGATTGAAGTGTGTCTGATTCAGGCCATGATATTTTAAATTGCTTCCTATGCATCTGAAAATTGGACAATAAATAAGGATAATAAAAGAATTGATACCTTTGAGTTGTGATGAGGAATAGTACTGAATATCCCATGGACTGTCAAAAGAACTGAGTAGCCTACCTGGGAGGAAGTGAACCAGGGTGTTCCTTAGAGGCTTCTTACATACTTTGGACATGTTGTCAGGAGGGGCAGGCCAATAGAAAAAGACAGAAAGCTTGGAAAGGTGGAAAGTAAGTCAGAGAAAGATTTAAAAAATGGATTGACACAGTGATTGCAACAAAGGGCTGGAACATTCTAGAGATTGTGAAGATGGCACAGGACAGGGCAAGGTTTTGATGTGTAATAGAGAGGGTCATATAACCACCCACTAATACCACTTAGGCAGGTACTCTAGCACAAGCTTCAAGTATGTATCCAAATGGCTTCATCTCTACATTTTTATAAAGACGCAGTTACTCTGTGAAATCTTTGAGACACTTTTTTACACTGTGAATCTCTTTGAGACCCACCTACAAAGGGTTCTAATTGGCCTCACTCGCAAGTTACTGAAATGTTCTGGCTAAATTAGAATCCAGGGTATGAACCTTAAAACCTTCTAAAGTAGTCTTAGAAATAAAAAAGACATTAATGGAAAACAACTGTGGAATGGGAAATATGTATTATATTTTCTATTGGCAACAGTAAAATTTGGATAGGAATGTCATCTCTGGCACTTACTATTTCTTTGGTCTTAAAGAAGTTGCTTAATCTCCTTCTCAACTTAGTTTTTACATCTGCAATACTGAATACACCATCAACTGCCAAAAGAATGAAATCTGTCTTGGAAGTAGGCAGCCAGAGTGCTGCTCCTTAGAACAAGGACGAGGAGACCTCTTCTCACATATTTTGGACATGTTACCAGGAGGGATCAATTCCTAGAAGACATCAGGCTTGGAAAAATAGAGTTGGCGAAAAGGAAGATGACTTTGAATGAAATGGACCGACATGACAATTACAACAATGGGTTTAAGCAGAGAGGAAATTGTAAAACTGGTGCAGAATTGGGTAGGATTTGACTTGTTATCCATGAGGTCACCGTGAGGGAGGTTTGGTGGAGCAGTTGATAGGAGATGCACTGCTAAGCAAAGGAGGCACCTCTCTGGTGGTTCAAATTCACCAGTGAGTGATTCCATGGGAGAAAGATGGGCAAACCCCTGGTGTGTGATTTATAGTCTTGGAAACCCTACAGATGGCTAGGTTTGAGTCAGCTCAGACTCCATGGCAATGACTTTTTATGTCTAAGGCTCACTATGAGCCAGTCAACACAAAAGCACCTAACAGCAAAAATACTTTGCTCATAAAGCTATCAGAAGTAGTAAAAGAGCTAACACAAACATATTATTTAGAGTAAGGGGCTCTCCGGGACTAGTGATAAGAAGCTGCACTGCCGCAAAGGCAGGAGGTTTGAATCCACCAACTGATCCTCAGGAGAAAGATGGACAATCTCCTCTCCTGTGATTTACAGTCTCTGAAAACCCACTGAAGAGTCAGCTATCAGTCCATTCTGACTCAACAGAAAAAACAACATCTACAACAAGGCTTGGGACCTCAATAGGTAAATGATACGGTTTTTGACACTAAAGAGAATTCTTTTTTTTTTTTACTGTGTCTTTTATGGCATAATCATTTTATCTTCTTTTTTTTTTTAATTGGGAAAAACATATTGGGGGTATAAGGAGGTGAGAATTCTTTTTTTACTGTTATCAAGCTAGAGTTCAGAAAGTCATGTCAGTGTCAATGAAATAGAGGTCAATGAAATGAGAGAAAAGTACTTAACAGAAGAATGGAATTGAAGTGGAATTTAGCTGGAAGGTAGGGGAGCAGTGATTAAAGTCAGAAAAGGGACTTCTGAAGAAAAAAGAAGACATGCTTTAATAGAAAGAGGAAGGATCATCAAGCAGAGAACAAAAGGTAATAAATTTAAAAATATTCACTGGTGAAAGAGTAAGAGACATGATCATTTAAGTATATCAGACTTGATAATTTTATAGCACATAATACCTTGGGTTTTGAATGTAAGGTATACTAATTAAAACAATGCTTTATAAAATGAATCCAGCAGAGAGCTATGTTTACTGAACAACTGAAGAGACTAGAGAAATGCTGGAGAAGCATAAAAATGAAAAATAAATGCAGGGCTCCCTGATAGCATAGAGTGCACAAATTTGCAAGGGTATGGATATATATTTATAATGTAATTTTCTGGGCAGAAAAGGTATGCAGGGTTTATTAATGAAACAGTTTGAAGTGTTTGTAAAATTAAACTGGGAGGAGAGATGGAAATTAAGGAAACCCTCCTCCACCACAGTCCAGATTAATTTAAGTGGTTACAAGACATCTAGATCTGAGGTTTATAAGGTCCACAGGTATAATTAATGGTATAAAAACAAAATTTCCAAGATTTATTAAGAGGGGGGAAAATGTCCTGAAATGAAGGTGGCCATTATAGTGGAAAAACTGCACGGTATCAGCACTGAAAAGATGAGGATTTGTGCCTGAGTGGATTAATAGCTAGTTTAACAATAATCATCTCTTGTTATTAGCAGCCTGAAGAGCAGGCAGGCTAAAGGGGGTTTAACACACATTCCCACCACTCATCTGTCAATTTGTCCTACTGTGGTGTGATACTGGAAGACAGGGAATTGGTTATTTAAATCATGGAAGGGGGTTTTGAAGACAAGAAATGCCTAAATAGGAAAAGTGAAGATCATTAAGCAGAGAAAAACATTCACTGTTGAGAGCACAAATTAGAGAGAAAAATAAATCAGATGCTAGCAAGGTCATCCAGGGTGGGCACAAAGGGGAGCTTCAGACAAAAATAAACTAGGAAGGACAGGGCAGTTTCCTTATGAAAAACTGAAGACTTAGGAATAGCAATGAAATACTGTCTGATGAGCCTCTCAGGTTGGAAGGCACTTAAAACACAAGTGGGGGTGGAGTTGCCTCCGTAAGACAGACTCTACCTTACTGGCATGCTGGTTGGTTTTGTCTTTTTTTTTCCAGGGGAAGAGTGTGTACATAGTCCCCCACTACCACAAATTATGCAGCCAAGTTCCCCACATTTGGGGAAACTGCAGGGGTCTGCATATCCGGAGGCAATGGATAAACCTCGCCCTGGGAAAACTACCTTCATGATCATGGTATCTCCTCTGCCAGGTAAGTGTCAGAGTAAAGTTTTGAAACTTTCCTTTGTTACCAGTCACAGTTCAAAATAAGAATAAACAGGTGCAAACATTCACTCATAACTGGAACACCAAATGTTTTAAGCAGGAATTTAACATAACTGGAAGTTGAAAAAGGAAATAAAATGAATAATAACTAATAACGTAGGCATTAGTGAGCTGGTATTGGCTGGTGAAGAGCCACTGTGAAATGGACAATCCTATGGCCTACTATGCTGGACTAGCCGTGCAACTCTCCAGTGACCAGAGCTCCCTACAAAGATGTTTACCTCTATTTCATTTATTAAGCAAAGTTGGCTATGTGGATAACAGACTATAAGGACAAAACTAAATCATGGATAAACTGTGAAGAGTGGGAATTTCAGAACATTTAATTGTACTCATGCAGAATTTATACATGGACCAAGAGGGGTCATTCAAAGAAAACAAGGAGAAACTACATGGTTAAAAATCAGGAAAGGGGTGCATCAGGCTTGTATTGCCTCATCAAACTTATGCATGCTACATAAATAATCCACAAAGCTGTGGTATGAAAAGAAGGCTGCATCAGGATTGGAGGAAAAGTAATCTATAATCCAAGATATGCAGATGACACAACACTGTTGCAAAAAGTGAAGAGGACTTCAGCTTTAAAGACTATCAGTTTTAATATGGGTAACATGTCAATATAAAATAAAATTCTCACAACTAGACCAGTAAGCAAAATTATGGTTAACAGAGAAAAGACAGAAGTTGTCAAGGATTTCATTTTATTAGAGTTTACAGTCAATGTCCATGTAAAAAGTAGTTAAGAAATCAAGCAACCTATTACTGTTAGCATATATGCTGCAAAGGATATCTTTATAGTATTAAAAAATAAAAATATCACTTTCATAGTAAGGTACACCTGTCACAAGTCATGTCATTTCAGTAGCTTCATTTGCATGCAAAAACTGAATAATGAAAAAGGAAGAAGAATTGGTGTCATACTGGCAGAGATTAGATTATAATGTCGGCCAAGAATGTTAACTATACAATGGAGTGCCAGAAGCAGGAATCAATCTGTCTTGGAATAAAGAATGTCCCACAGAACACATTATCAGAAAAGATTAGCCCCTGGACAAAGGAATCATATTTCAAAGAGGGTCAGGAAGAAAAAAAGACCTTCATTAAGAGGGATTGACAGTGGCTGCAACAATGGCCTCAAACTTAACAACTGTCATGATGTTATGGGACTGGGTAGTGTTTCATTCTGTTGTACACAGAATCACCATGAGTCAGAGCTGGCTGCTGCCAACTGACAAGGCTACCGCCATCACCACATAGCTAGTGGAGAGTTTGGGTTTTTTGTTTGTTTTTGTAAAAAGGCACAAGAATTTAGTTACAAATAGTGATAGAATATTTGCAACAGATAAATTTTAAGGGGATTATAAAGTTTGATACAGTAATAAAAGTTCCTGAGTGTTTTGTATTTTATTAAGGAGAGTGTAAATTAGTAGCATTTGGTTTAATTATTCTGATGTTTCTCATATAGCATTTTTAAGATCAGAAAATATCACTTAAAATTTTAGATTTATAAATATTCTTTAAAAGTAAAGGTTCTGGCACCTAAGTCCACATGCCATATGACAAAAACCTGCTGAAGGTGAACAGACGTGTGTTGGGACACTCTTGAAACAGTAACAAGAGACTGTTGTTACTTGGAGGCCTGTAACTTTTTGAACATGCAACTACTTCTTTAAAAGGACCTTCCTGGGGGGAGGGGGCTAAAGAAAAAAGTGCAACAATGAATGAATGAAAATCCAAAATCTCTGCAAATGTTCATTAAAATTAATAAAATAAAATTTAAAAAAAGGACCTTCGTCTAGATCATCTCAATAAACCTTCATAAAAATCTTGTGAGGTAGGTGGGGATGTTATTATTTTAATACTCATCTTTCAAAGTTGAAAAGATAAAATGTTTTTCAACAAGTTAAACATTTAGTAGGTTGTAGTGTGAAGACTCTAATCTAGTCACAGGGTTTAAAAGAATAGTTTACTTTTTTGAACATAATACTTTTCAACATAAAGAAAAGGTCCATAATTTGAAGACAAGGCATAGTAAAATTCCATTTAAAATAAACAAGCAAGGAAAAATCCTTTAAAGTTCCATGTAGTAGAATTTAAATTTATTTCAAATCTAAGTTGAAATATATGAAAAATACATGGTTATACATATATCTTATATTATAAAGATATTTATCAGAGCCTGTATCTATTTCTTTAACCATACATATTCCTATTGGTAAAAACACTTTATTTAAGCAATGAAAAAGATCCACTTTTAGAAAAGTTACTACGTAGCTCTTTGGAGGCAAAGATTCTGAAACTTCATCTGACATACTGTGGACATATTGAAAGGAGAGACCAGTCCTTGGAGAGGGATGTCATGTTTAGGAGGGTAGAGGTATAGCACAGGAGAGGAAGACTCTCGATGAGATGGACTGATTCAGTCACTGGGGTAAGGGGGGCAGGTGTGTCAGAAACATTAAGATTAGCACAGGGTAGAGCAGGTTTTAGGGCTGTCGTACATAGAGTCACTATGAGTCACAGACACTTGACAGCACATAACAACAACTACTACTACTTAGGGATAAAAAACCAGAATTGTTTTTATTTTTAAATTTAACTGCATGGTTCAAAATTGGGAAGGGCGTACGCCAGGGATGCATCCTACCTCCATACCTTTTCAACCTATATGCAGAACAGATTATCCGGGAGCCTGGGCTCTATGAGGAGAAATGTGGGGTCAAGATTGGACGATTTATCAACAATCTGCATTATGCAGATGACACAACCCTGCTTGCTGAAACGGAAGAGGACCTGAAGCGCCTGCTGCAGAGCGTCAAGGACTGCAGCCTACAATATGGATTGAGGCTCAATGTCAAGAAGACAAAGATTCTCACCACTGGACCATTTGGCAGCATCAGCATGGATGGTGAAGTGATTGAGATTGTACATAGCTTTAGTCTGCTTGGCTCCATAGTCAACAGTCTTGGCACCAGCAGCCAGGAAATTAAAAGGCGCATTGCCATGGGAAAGTCTGTTGTTAGGGACCTCTCCAAAGTACTGAAGAGCAATGGTGTCTCTCTGGAGAGTAAGGTGCGTCTGATACAGGCTATGGTCTTCGCAATCACTTGTTATGCATCAGAGAGTTGAATAATGACCAGGGAGGATAGAAGGAGAATTGATGCCTTTGAGCTGTGGTGCTGGAGAAGAGTATTGAGAATACCATGGACTGCTAGGAAAACAAACAGATTTGTCCTGGAAAGGGTTAAACCGGGTGGCTCCTTGGAGGCAAAGATTCTGAGGCTCCGTCTAACATACTTTGGACATGTTGTGAGGAGAGACCGGTCCCTGAAGAGGGACATCATGCTTGGGAGGGTGGACGGACAGCGCAGGAGAGGAAGGCCCTCTATGAGGTGGATTGATTCAGTGACTGGGATAATTGGGATGGGAGTGTCAGAGACAGAGCGATTGGCACAGGACAGAGCGGAGTTTAGAGCTGTTGTACATAGGGTTGCTATGAGTCGCAAGCGACTCGACGGCACATAACAACAAACAACAACAAGTATCTTTGGTCATGAAATTTGTAAAACTGTGAGAAATTATATACAAACTTACCCAATAAATTAATGCCGTCATTTACAATGAGCTGTCCATGTCGCAAATAGTTCAAAATGGGTTCAAAGTATTCAGGACTTCGGTCAATTAAGAAAGCTCCTCTATGATCTTGTTTATTTCCCCAGACACCTGTGTTACCATGAAAATGTAAAAGGTGTCCCATAAACAGAAAATGAATTTAGCCATTTAGGGAATAAAAATGCTGTTTTTATCATTAAAACGTACAGAAGGACAAGAGTTTTTAAAAGTCAATACATGTACAAATAGATCACACAAAGTACAAATAGATCACACAAAATACAAAAACACTGCTCTACTTACCTCTGTCCTTAAACATGTGGGCCAGCATACTGTCAGGTTCTTTATTCACTAAAGTGCTCCTAAGAATTCAGGGAAAAAAACGGATTTCTCCATTTGTCTTTATAAAGAAATACACTTAAGTCAAGAGTATACTGGATCCCAGCTGCTCTCTCAAAAAGACGCATGCTACGACCTGGTAGGAATAATGCTGGGAAACAGAAACGTGCAGTAAGTTGCCATTTATCAAAATCCCTTTCTTCTCTGGCACTTCCTTTGATTTAAATCCTGTTTTAGTTTCCTTAAATTGAAATGTTAATATACTTTCTGGCAAGTTATTACATAAAAATATTCTTGATTTTCCAAATTATTACTTTTTCTGATCTTTTCAATGTAAGCAGTTACAGTCTTTAAATATTCCCTGCTAATTTTAGCTTGGTAAAACGTTTAAAAAAACAACAACATTGAATGCACGCCTTTCATGCTTTTTCTGGAATGACCTGTGAATCATTGTCTACTTTTTTTCTTTTAAAAAGTTGTTCTAATACATGGTATATTCAAGCAGCATTTGAGCATGTTTTACGGAAAATGGCAAAGTGAAGGAGAGAACCAACAGCACCTAGTGTTTCCCTCTTTGGTACACACACACCTACCGTGTAGTGGTAAAGTACCGCCCTCCAACATTTAATGTTAGCCAGTCTGTGTGGGATCCTGTCAGTCCTTCAGGTGGTCTAGAATCTGTCTGAGGATCTAGAGATGACATGCAGAAAATAATATTATTAGGGATTCTGGGAAGAGGACAATGGCATAATTTTTCAAACTAAATATATATACATTAATCCATCCCAGAAGTACTAGGATTGTTGTTATGTGTAGCCAGCAACCCTATGTACAGCAGCTCAGAAGCCTGCCCTGTCTGGAGCCAGTTTCACATATACCCTCAGTGCCCCAGTTACTGAATCAATCCATCTCCGTCAAAGGTCTTCCTCTCCTGTGCTGTCCCTCCATCCTTCTGAGCATAATATCCTTCTCCAAGGATTGATCTCTCCTGGCCATGTGCCCAAAGTATGTCAGATAGTGTTCCAAAATCCTAGCCTACAAGGAGAAACTTGGTTTCACCCTCTCCATGACAGACCTATTTATTTTTATGGCAGTCCATGGTGTATGTTGAAGAGACTTCTCCAGCACCACAACTCAAAGGCATCAATTACTTTTCTATCATCTTTAGTCACTGTCCAGCTATCTGATGCACATAGCAAGTAATTACAAAGACCATGGACTGGAGGAGGTGCACCTTAGTCTCTAGATTGACATCATATCGTTGTTGTTATGTGCCGTCGAGTGGCTTACGACTCATAGCGACCCCATGTACAACAGCCCTAAACTCTGCTCTGTCTTGTGCCAATTGCACTGTCTCTGACACACCCATCCCAATTACCCTAGTCACTGAATCAATCCACCTCATAGAGGGCCTTCCTCTCCTGCGCTGTCCCTCCACACTTCCAAGCATGATGTCTTTCTCCAAGGACCAGTCTCTCCTTACAACATGTCCAAAGTAAGTCAGATGAAGCCTCAGAATCCTTGCCTCCAAGGAGCAGCCTGGTTTAACCCCTTCCAGGAGGAATCTGTTTGTTTTCCTAGCAGTCCATGGTACTCTCAATACTCATCTCCAGCACCGTAGCTCAAAGGTAGTAAAGCAAAACCTAAACTCATACTCATCCTACTATTTATTGCTCTCAAGTGAAAACGGATACATAGTTTACCCTCCAGCAGGATTTCTGAAGCTGTAAATTACATGGAAGGACATATCCATCCTTCTCTTGTGGAGATGATTGTGAGTTCCAATCTCTAGAGAAGCTCTGGGTTTGGGTGAACAGCACAACTTGTTACAGGTTACACTACCAGAGCTCCCTCCAAACCCAGAGACAGCATTTAAAACAAAGTCAGGAGACAAAGCATTCCCCAAACCACCAACCGCTTGTAGAACAGCATTTGTGAAGGGAAAAATCAGAGAAGCAAAGGTCATGTGATGAACCTAAGACGTCCAAGGCAATCCAAAGATACTCACTTCAAAGCTCAGCAAGTGGAATTGAAAAAAGCAGACTAAAAATGGGAGAATATGCCCTCTCCAAAGTGGCAGAGTTTGCCATAAGACTTGCAGAGGTTGCAAGTCCAAACTAACCAGCTAAATTCCCTTTTAGGAAAAAGTCCTAAATGGACAGTAAGATACTTGGAACAGGACCCAAGCTGAAGAGACCAGAGAAAATAGAGACTTAAAAAAAAAAAAAAGGAAGGCAAGAACAGTTGGCATACATGTTTGTTGTTGTTATGTGCTATCAAGTCAGAATAATTCTCAGCAGACCCTCCAGAGGGTTTTCAGAGGCAGTAAATTCCATGGGAGGAGATTATCCATCCTTCTCTGGAGAAGCAGCACCAAAGGAACCACATCCCTTTGGGATCTCTAGGCCACCAGAGCTACCCTCTAAGCCGAATTCCCCAGAAAATGAGCCTCAATTTTTTTCAATACTTCACAAAAACAATAGAAATGAGAACACTGAAGTGATGAAATGATAAAATGTTTTGTGTTATGTGTTAAGGAAAAGAGAAGTAGTTTGAGTCAGCCTGTTGCTCTGAGAAGGAAGATGGATGACAGCCAGACAGTCTCTTTACTGATTTATGGCCTCAGAAACCTGATGGGGGTCATGAGAAGTAGTAATTCATGTGACAAGATAGGTTTCTAAGTGAGCATCTCCTTAAGAAAAGATAGTTTCAATTAAAATGGATCAACAGGAAAGGACTGAGATCAAATTGCATATAAAATGATTCAAAAGGAGAGAGTAAGGAGCAGAAATGCATTCCCAGAGATCATGAAAATATGCCAGAGATGCTGACAAAATTGGTAACAACTGTAATCTCCTATTCCAAACAATGTAAAAATAAGTCAGTGATACATGATATGAAAGGAGAAAAAACCACCCAAAATTATAAAATTTATTTAATGAAGTGAGATAACTTAGGAGAGAAAACAGGCCAAAGAAAAAACTATTTCAGAAATGAAGTCAACTAAACTAAAAGAAACCAATGTGTGAATACATAAAAGATAATGCTTTAAAAGAAATAAAAGATGAAAAAGTTTTAAAAATAAAATCCAACTGAAGGAAAAGATGACAAAGATTTAATAGGAGGTTTCAAACATATAAAACAAGTTTAGAAGATCTACCATCACATAATAGGAGTCCTGAAAAAAAAGAAAAAAATGTTATAGAAAGGGCATAAAAGAAACATAAAATGTAAAATAAGAAATCTTTTCTAAAGTTCAGGACTTGACCTACAGGGACTCACTCTGTAACTAAGAAAATCAGAATTAGCCTGAGACAACCCTGATTACCAACAAAAGTCCATTAAAATTACAGAATGTTAAAGAAAAAAAGTTTTGATGATCTATACAAAGTATGTGATTTATGAAAGTAAAAAATTAAGGACACTATCATTTTTTTAAAATATGAACAATTGATGCCAGAATAAAAGATAAATACACTGAATAAATTTAAGGAAAGAAAATATGAACCCAAGATTTTTTAACAGGTTCATAAAGGTGTAATTTGAAATACAATAAAGCATAAATGTTTCAAGTTTACAGCTAGGCATACAATGTTATAATCCAGTCAAACGGACTTTTAAATATAAAAGCCACAAACCGTTAGTAACTTCACATCTTCGTTTTTTAGTGCCACAGAGTTGAGGACAGATCTGAACCCTGACCCATTACCCTGAGCCATCCTCATAATCTCTGATATACCACTGTTATGGTAACTATGTCAATTTATCTCATCAAGGGTCTCCTCTTTCTCTGAGAGGTCAGAGGATATTATCCTCACAGGTTCTTTCTGTGGAATGAGATAACGTCTAGGGCGAAGCATTATACACACTTGAAGAAGAAAGATTAAGTAAAGACTACAAAAAGAGATTATAATACATAATGACTATATACTCCAAGAATGTGAAAGCAGTATAATTATTAAGTAAGCAGGGAAAAGAATGAACAAATGAAGAAGAAAAAAAGTTAAACTGTTTTCAGTAAAAGCACTGATGCTAGCAGTTTTGGAATTATTATTCTGACATTTTCTTTTGTGTGTTGTGTGGGATGAAGCAAATATATAGTTTTATCCTATGGCCTTAAGAACCCATACTAGTAATGTAACAGAAGGAGACATAGATGTCAAGACAGAAGTTAAATAAAAATCCTATGCCATTCAATATAAATCATAAGAATTGGAATAACTCACAAGTTATTTTCCAAATCCATATGTTATATACAATCTGTAAGCCTTGTGTCATTGTTATGGTTGTAAAGTATTATTGATTTCAGCTCATAATGACTATGCAAAGTAAGTGATACTTGAGACCATGTCTGGGTCACAAAAAATACAAGATTACTTTGTGGAAGTGCAGTGGTGAAACAGTAGCCCTTTAGTTGAAGAGTTAGGAATCAGAAGTCCAAGTAGTTCATTGTGAATTCATCACAGATGTTCTTATAATAGGTAAATTCTTAGCCTGGTTCACAAAAACGTATTTGGATCAACTGCTGCCCTGGCAAAGCAATGGTTCAAATGCTCAACTGGCAACCAAAAGGTAGGCAGTGACTAAGAGGTTGTCATTTGAACCCAATCACTGCAAGAGAAAGCAGCGGTGTCCTGCTTCTGTAAAGATTACAGTCACGCAAGTGCTACTCTGTCTTCTGGGGTTGTTAAGAGTTAGAAGTATACTGATGGCAATGGTGTTTTTGAGAGCAGGAGTGTTAAAATTTTCACTAAGGAACAAAATTATGTGTTATGGGAGAGAAGAAGAAAGAGCCGACTTCTCCTAGCCAGAGATAAAAGCCATAGCAAATCACTGAAATAAATAAAGTCGGCTTTTGGCAGTGTTTGCACCTTTCTCTCTACTGCCTAATAAATGGAAGCGTCTCCTACATCTTTTATCCTTCTAAAATAGACATACTCTCAGTGGGATAGTAAGTTCAAAAAGGCCTAAAATCCAAAGCATTTCACATTTTAAAATAATCTACATCCTTTTCTCTTAATTAAAATTTAACTTCTATCCTTTCCAACCTAATTGACAAGGTGTTAAAAAATAATGGCATTTCAAAGAGATGTTTGTTAATATATTAAAATTAGCTTAACACTGTGAAGTTAAAAAGAAATTAGAACATTATATGCATTTTTTTTTAACTTCTCAAACTTAGTACTTTAAGCCAGAGGTTCCTTTGGTAAAACTCTGAGTGGTTAAGATGTGGGCAGGCTTTGGTCTTTTTGTTTGCACCTTTGTGACAAGTAAGTGCTGTATGCCTATTACTCACTCTATTAGGACAATTAATAAAAGAAGATGAGAAAAATGCTTTTTTTGCTCAGAGTTTTAAGGTTAAGACAGTCACAGATACTTGCACTTATGTCTATATAGTGTGTGTAATAATCCGGAAACTACGTCAAGTAATCAAATACATCTGACATTCAAAACTCATCCTTAAACAAGTATGCAGAATGTGATTGTATCACGGGCTTTTTCTTTTGAGATACAAGTGGTATAAACTTTCTACTGGAACACTTGGCAGCATCATGATAGATGATGAAGAGACTGAGATTGTTAGCAGTTTCAGTTTGCTTGGCTCTATAGTCAACACTCTTGGTACCAGCAGCCAGGAAATTAAAAGATGAATTGCATTGGGAAAGTCTGCTGTCAGAGACCTCTCCAAAATACTGAAGAACAACGATATCAGTCTGGAGACTAAAGTGTGCCTGATACAGGCCATGGTCTTTGCAGTTACGTGCTATGCATCGGAAAGCTGGACAATGACTAGGGCTGACAGAAGGAGAATTGGTGCCTTTGAGCTGTGGTGCTGGAGAAGAGTATTGAACATACTATGGATTGCTAAGAGAACAAAC